GAAAGAAGTGTGCGTTCATCTGTCTCGCTGTCTTCTCGGATTGTTGATAACTCATTTTTATTGGTGGTACGCATCTCATTCGATAGGCTTTGTGTGTCTTCATCGGGTCGCACTCTTGGCGCAGTAGCTGAATTATTATCATTTAAAAATGTGGATGGAATACTCTCCTTCAATTGACTACGGGACACCAAGCGCACCGGCCGAACCCAAAGTGTATCCAACAGATGACATAAAGAGGAAGTAGATGGTACAATTTGATTAGTTGATTCATCCGATTTCGTGTTTGGCAATTGTGTGGCTGTAATCAGCCGGGCATAGTCTTGCGTCAGCTGAGATAAGCAAGCTTGGGCGCGACGCATGCGTCCACGATGCTGAAGCACGGGATCGTCAAGCACGTTCAAATCGATAGCGGTAAGTGCCTCCGCCGCTGTTATTGGAACGGTCCGTATTCTGAGGGAAGGGTACAACAAGAAGTTTTTTTCAGATGAGCACGATAAGAAACTTCAGTTCAAATGGAACAATCAATGACCGACATCAAAACGCCACGTACCAAATACACTAAATGTAGTTTTGAGTATTACAGGCAATTGATATAACCAATAAAGGCGAAAGAATCATTAGATCGGCCCGGGTATGCTGCATCGCACTTTATTCACTGTAGCTAATCCGGGCTGGAAGAAACTACGTGAAGGTCAACATGACGTGGAGACGAGGCATGAAGAAATGCACAGAGGCATTAGATAAAGTAGGTGTCTCTCGCCTCCCAGGTTGGTGTCCGAAAGACTCCACAACCGGTTGGTTGGAGACATTGAAGGATATGGCAGCGAACCGACAGCAGCGGTGTCCTTGTTGTCATTTCTTACCAGCCCAGACGGCTTGAAACGGTATGTACGCAGAGTTCGTTTGTGCACTCTGTGTTCACCATAGTGGTTCCCCTCCTTCTCCCTCCCTCAAAGTATGTCCAATCCTTGTCCACCTTAAATTTTGCCACTAACCTAGTGTGGATTGCGAGTTTGGCAGCGATGAGTGAAGTGAGTGAGTTACTGCATTGAGAACGTCACCTCGATTGGCGATGAAACGTTTGCAATACAATTGCCAAGTTCGGTGAACTACTGAACATCACATTATACCCCCCGACCTACGAAAACAACAATCAACACCGTTGTTTACAAAGACGTTTGTGGCCAGACTGTGCAAAACAAATCGTGAATAATAAAACGTTCCAGGATTTGTTTGTGGGCGCGAAACTGCTGGGTTGCCCGGGACAATGTTGGTGACTTTTTCGAGGAATTTACAACCGGAGCCTTCTGGCATTCGCGGTGTGAAAATTGCAGTCAATTGGTGGCCGGTGTCCAGTTCATCGGATCACGCCCTTTGGACGGGATCAAACGTCGAAGGTGCCCAATACACCTCGATGCCCAATCGAGCCGGTGACCACTGCCACAACCGGGAGGGTGTATGGTTCGTGTGCTTTTACTTTGTTGGTTTGGAATCAGGGTTTATGGCCAGTTCCCCTAGGTGAACTGCCAGTGGTTCACCAACCCGGTTATAGCTCCGGATGATTGCTTTTCTTCCTCTCCGTTTGATGGGGGGAATCTCCGTCACGGGAAGGCAGTGAGCAGGGCTTCCTCGCCAGAGGCTATCTGAGACGCTTGGTTGTATGGGAGTATTTCGCGAGGTGCAATGGAAGAGTAACTAGTCACAACCCAAGACACCCACCGCCGACTATATTTAGGTTTCTGGATATAAATGTCTCAAGTTGGGAAACGGTAATCGAGCCGAAACGTAATCTGTGATGCATGTGCCGTGCGAGATGTAGCTGTCTAAGCGCTAAATTTAATCACTAAATCTAATTAAAGTGAGATTTGTATTTGTATGACCTGTGGAAGCATATGTGCTTACGTTTAAGTTAAAAATGTATGCTGTTCGTAACGCAGAATGAAATAAAAATAATAATAAAAGGTAAAGAATGTCGGTGATATTTTTTTCATGTACAAAACGTTTGACGTCATTCATTTGAGACCTGATCCCCTTTGGTAAGTAGCCGGGTCAGGTAGGGTACAGGGAATTTTTATAAATGTTAATGCGAGAGGGTAGATGTCGAAAAGAGGAGCGTGTGGATGAGTGGGGAACGACAAGACGATAGATCAGAGTGTAGTGGATGAAGAAGGTCATCTGGAATCTTATAAGGTGTATGTGGTACCCGGTAGGAGTAGCCCCTCTGACTCGGGAGGTTGTCGGCCCCTTTGGGGCATCCCTCGTTCTTTGGTCTCCACCGGGTGCTCAGNTCAGCTGTCACCTGTGGCTCCCAGAAGCTGTTTGGATGCAACAGCGGCGACACTCTGGTAAACCGCTCGACAGGCGGACCGAACCACGTTGAGGGTAACAAGGAGCTCAACTCCCGGCGAGTCGATGTCTAACGTACGTGTTGTGCTGACGAAGTCGGTTTCAAGACTCAGCGGCCGAGACAATGACTCCGTACTCACCAGGGATGCATGGATCCCTGTTCAACTAGCAACTGTCAATGGCATATGAGCTCCTCCCAGAGGGCCACCGGCAACCATGAGCTACCTTCCTACTACCTTGCAGTTAGCACTTGGATATGCAAAGGCTAGAAATGCCAACTCGACCCAAAGCTGGGTGACGCTGGGGACGTTTCCTGTACCTAACTCCCAAGAAATTTCATGGATATTCACTCAAACTGTTTTGCTAATCATGCTGCGGCGTTTCGGGGAAGCGACGCGCCCTGTGCTCCTCCAGTCGCCCGGGTGACAAGTATACGCACTGGACACCTCAAACTACGCAAAACTTCTTACATTGGATGCTGGAATGTAAGAACACTCTTAGATGCCGGGAGTCAGGCACAAACAATACGTGCGCTGCATGACTATCAGCTAGATATTACTTGCCTCTCAGAAGTCAGATTGGCGAGCTCCGGCTCCAAAAGTATAAAAATCCCCGGTATTGATAGCCATTACTGGCTGTACCACAGCGGCAACGAAACGTCAGGTCAACACGGAGTGGCACTTGCTGTAAGCCATCGGGCTAATAGTGCTTTACTTTCCTGGAAACCAATATCCTCTAGGATTGTAGTAGCCCGATTCAAGGGTCACCCGGTAAACCTCACGGTAATCGTTGTCTAAGCCCTGACTCTCCCATCTGACAACAAAGTCAAGGATGAGTTCTATACCAGCCTTCAATCGCTTATGAACGAAATACCTAAACGGGATGTAAATCTCATAGCAGGGGACTGGAACGCTCGAACTGGTCCACAAACAGAGGCCACGAAACAAATCATAGGGAGGTTTGGCCTGGGCCAGCCCAGCGAGAATGGCGACAGACTACTCAGCTTTGCCGATTATAATCGATTGTGTATCACCAACACGCGATTTCAACATCCAAAAAGGCATCTTCTAACGTGGTACTCTAGCGACGGCCGAACGGCACATCAAATAGATTACGTTCTCGTCCGTTCATGATGGGTTTCTTCGATTGAAGACTGTCGTTCCTATCGTGGGGCTGAATGCGGGAACCAAAGCGGATGTAATCACGTACTAGTTCGCGCGAAAGTCAGACTCCATCTAACAACCCGCAGGAAGTCCGTCCCCTCAACGCCTAGATGTACTTTCACTGGAGAAAAGCGAAAAATGCCAGACACTAATGGACATGATACGTGCACAGCTGTCAAACGACCCCCTCAGTACACAAGGTAACACAGGGAGCTCCGTTAAAACTCAGTGGAGCAGGTTGAAGTCATCGGTACAACAAGCTGCTCCACACGCGTTAGGCACTAGACCACGTTGTCTGAAGGACTGGATATCCAGTCACACCATCCATTTAGCTAATGCGGCCAGAGAAGCTCGTCTAGCTCAATCTTCTGCTTATCGCGATCTCAGGCGACAAGCAACACGATCAGCCAGAAATAACAGATGCAACTACTGGAACGAAATGGCTACTAAAATGGAGACAGCAGCCAACCTGGGTAACACGGCAACCCTCTTCCTGCTTAATCGATCAGCATCGAGCAAGAAACAGATCACCCACTCTGTGCTGCGCAGTGCCTCCGGTGAACTCATTTCTGATGCGCAGGGAAAAATGTGTCGATGGATGGAACACTTTAGTCTTCTTCTCGATCGCCCTCAAATCTAACTTCCGTATGCACCCTCCTCGCCATCTTCGCCGTACGAAGCTAACTGCGCTCTGCCATCAGTACAAGAAGTCTCAGATATCATCAGTCATCTCAAGCCACGGAAATCTCCGATGAGGATGGGATATCCGCCGAAATCTACGCAGTGTTCTTCAGCCATTTTAAACCTTCTTCATAGCTTATTGTGTGCCATCTGGGAAACTGAAATTTGCCCAACTGATTGAAACATATCGATTTTACTACCTTTCCCTAAAAAGGGCGACAAATTGGAGTGCGAAAACTACAGAGACATCAGCTTACTTGACGTGGCGGCCAAGGTTTTTGCACAAGTTTTCCTGAACCGCTTCGCTGCAGCAAGACATGCACGCACTCGTCCTAACCGGTGTGGGCTGCGTCGATTAAATATTCACTCTGCGTCGACTCTTGGAGCATCGCCACAAGTTTCAACAAACTACAACAGTCTGCTTCATCGATTTTCGTGCGGCATTCGATTCCGTCGATCACGAATCCCTCTGGAACATAGTTCTGGCCGATGGTTTCCCAGTCAATCTTGTCAACCTTATGAGATCCTACTATTCCAACACTAGCGCCCGAACATGTGTCTACGGAGAGGAATTTCGGCCGTTCGGGTTAGGATCTGGAGTGCGACAGGGGTGCCCATTGTCCCCAATGCTGTTCCACTTCGCCGAGGACTGGATAATGGGTCGTTTGATGGAAGGATACCAGGGAGTTCAGATCTCTCTGAACTTATGGCTCACCGACTTAGAATTCGCGGATGATATTGTCGTCTTTGGCGAGGACCTCTAATCGTTGACCGCATCAGTCGACAGGCCTCCGAGATCGGCCTAGGTGAACACATCAAAAACCAAAACCTTTACGACAGTCCCGATCCATCCCGAGAATGCTTTACTACCAAACGGCGAGCGGATCGAATCCGTTGAAAGCTTCAAATACTTGGGATCAACCATTGGCCCCAACGGCCAAGCTAAAGACGAGGTGCAAATGAGCGTCCATGCTGCAAGAAGGGCGTTTTTACAGTTGAAGAAACCCCTTTGGCGCATTAAATGAAATCAGCCTCAAGACAAAAATCCGAGTTTCCTCCGCAACAGTCCGTCCTGTTTTGTTATACGGTTGTGAAACCTGGCCACTCGGAGTCACAGATCAGAAGTCTTTGATCATTGGTGCTTGAGACTCATTCTGGGTGTACGATGGAGGGATCAACTCTCAAATGAAGTGGTCAGAAATCGGTTTCGAGCTTGTACGGCTGAGGACGCTAATGCAACGGCGGCGACTACAATGGTTTGGCCACATTCTTCTGACAAAAGTTGTCTTGGCACCGCCTCCCTGCCCGAACTGGCGCTATCGGTACGGTAGACAACTGAATACCTGGCTTGACACGGCATGAAAGGATATTGAAAATCTTGCTCTCCGTTCCGTTTACGGCGTTCGCCAATGGAAGTCAAGCTGGATCATAAACTGCGCTGATCTTGCGGCAGATCGCCGAGTGTGGGCAGCGGAAATTTGAGATATCTATGAAGCTGGCTTATCCTCTCCCAGGAGCCAGTCGCCGTAAAGTAAGTAAGTAAGTTATGAGCAAGTTTAAAACAAGGGTTAATTTTCGTTGGTCCAACATCCTACTGTAGCCAAAGTACTACATTTTAGAGGTGAAAAACGTAACGAACAAGCCTACACTAGCGCCCAAACGATTCATAAAAACTTGCAACCTACCCGGATCTTTACTTAGCAGTACATTGTGCTCTGCATACTTCAGATCAGACAGTCGGCCACTTGGAAGTAAATCGATATCGCTATTCGCACAAGGACGGGGCATTTTCCAGAATCCAATCGATCACAAGGTTGGATTAAGGGAAACCCGGACGAACACCACTTTGTGGTGAACAAGGGGTAAAGGTGCCGTAAGCTGGGACTCGGTTCTGGGTACAAAAAATAAACTGACCGCAGAATTGAAATCAACTTCTCGGGTTCACCATCAGGTAAGGAGAGAGCGGCGGAGTATAGAGCGGTTAACTGAGTCCAAGACTATCTTCATCTCCACGAAGATGGAGACGGTGGATCTATGAAAATAATGGGTGTTCCAGAATTTAGCGGAGAGTGAAAATGTGGTCAATGCAACCTGGAGCAGGTTTAAAGTCAATCTGGTTCTCACGCGCGCATTATTCACTTGCGGTGGACAATCGACAGAGTATGAGATAAGCAAAAAGTTCAGAAACAATGTCGATCAAACTGTAGCTTTGCACAAGAAGACTTTCGCGGAAATCGGTAAGATGATCGATTAACACCATTGCCTTGCAATTTGTTCTCGCTCCAATAATGAAACCAGGAGTTTCGTCAGTTCTGGAATCAAGGCCAACCCTACATCCTTAAAAGCCGATGGGGAGAATTCATCAGGGCCAGAGGCCAATAAATGAAAAATAATTAATTAATAAATTAACGTAAAACCGACCACTGCTTCCAATCTGGACAACCGAATGGTAACTTGTTGGGCTTTCAACTCTTTATGCTCTCGTTCCATGCCTACAACGTCCTGGTTCCGGCAATGAGGTGCGTACCTTGGGTGATGAACTGAACACCATCTCGTCCTGTTACCTTGCAAGTTTGACTTTGTAGTCTAGTTTGAGTGACGATCTCAAGACTTATCCCCATTCTTCGGCTTGGAAAACCGGAGTGTCATGATCTGACAACCCACCGACATTGCAAAGATCAACAGCTCGGTGATAGTGACACTAACCAGGACGAAACAGCTGTATAGAGATTTCAATGCATGTTACCCACAGAACACCGCACGATCACCTGATATTTTGATATTATATATAAATATATATATATATGCATATTATTCCGAGAACAAAAACAAGGAAAACAGATTGGTTGTTCAAGGCACAAGCACTCACGTAGTGAATTTCAGTCCGAGTCGTATACTGTGCACCACTTTGCAAGGAATACACCATTCGGGAGCCACGAAGCCGTGCTCCTCCTCCAAATGTCGGAACAAGGACCGAGCAGTATGAGGAGCATCAGGGTTGTACGGTTGGGCTGGCCATTGGTTTGGACATGGTGTATCTCGCAGACAAACTAGGTCCTCTAGGTTTTTATATTTCCGAGCAAATTCCTGAAGCATCTTATAGCATGGAGTACAAAACCGGCAAGCAACTCGATCGCCACGCTGAAGATGAATTTGACACAGTCGACAAGTTATAGATCGTGAGGAAGTATGCGCGGATTCGTCCACGGTGGTCACACTCTCTGTTACATTATTCTTGGATGGAGTGAGAGTGCACGCAGCCTCGGAAGACGGAGCTCGTGGTTTAACTGTACAAAGGTAAGATGACAGAATAGATAATTAGATCATCATCATCATCGTACAGTGTACTACAGTGAAGCGAACTTCGCTGATCCCTGCCAAACTCATACAGCATGCACGGTGAGATTGTGTAGGGAAGATTGGATTTACTTTTAGGGACGGAGAACCTTTACGGTCGATGAATAAATATGATTATGCAACCTCCTTGCTCATCGTTGATGCAAAAACGACGTCCAGTTTAGAAATGTAGTTAACCAAACACTTGAATGTTTTACTTTGCTCCTAGTTTCCAGATCAAATTAATCAGAAGAAAGACAGAAACAGAACACAAGAACGGACAACGGACGCGTGGCGTTTAATTATATGCCATTGCACGGTGTGCAACAGATGGGGGTAGAGTTAGTGGTCATGAAGCCTTACTGTTCACGTAT